CGCCCCCTCCCCTCCCCGTCAAATCAACCTGTTGTCGTTGCACCGTTGCACCCAAGTTGCGAATTCCCCATGCCGTTGTGCCCGATCTACGTGTCCTGGCTCGGAGTCCTGGATTCTATCGGTAATCCATCCTATTGGGGTCCTAGGAGAAAGGACTTGCGTACTGCATTGTGGGACCCTCGCCTGCGTTATAGAAGTCGGCTTCTGATAGCCTCCTTCTGCTGTCAGAATGGAGATGACATGTATAGAGTGGTGAAGTTTCTACAAGCTATGCACAGAGATCAATCCAAAATAATGAAGATGAAGCTATTGTCTAAGTCCTGGAATGATGAAGAACATGGATATTCCAGCGACAAGCGTATTTTGCATATGATTGTCACCTACGCTGCTTCTGTGATTTAAATGGAAATCCCAGGCCAGGGCAAGCTAAATACATTATGTTGTAGAATACTTTTATTGTACACTAATTAACTGAAACTTCATTTTTGTTCAACAAAAATAAATACTATGCAATATACAAAACAAATGAACTGGTATTTTATATAGGGTATCTCTCCTGCATGTGCAGGGGTCCGTAACTTAACATATAGGGACCTCATAACGTTTTGTTAATCGTTAGTGTTGTACCCTATAACTGATAACGCCTACTATGGCACTTAACAGATACGTAAATAACATACAACTATTGTTTAAAAAAATAACCGTTATGGATTTATCAAATATTACTTTGATAAGAGTTTAAGTGTTATGTTCTATTTCATGCCTGTGCGATATAAGTCACTAAAAAAAGGGAAGCCGCTTTTAACGTTAAATGAATTGGTTACATATATAACGTTAAGGGAATAACAAATTACTTATTGGTTGCGTATCTAACTTAACTTAAAGTTTTATTTGCGACTTTGTTAAATTATTTAACAAACCGATCATGTTCGTTATGTTAAGTTACGGACCCCTGTGCATGTGCTCAATAAATGAAGCAAAACGCTTTGCAGGTGAGCCTCTGAAATTTTGCCTATACATAAATTCATCAATGTGTTCTGCAAGCAATATACTGCGCAGAACACAGGTGTGTCGGCAAAAGAACTTTAAGCGTGACCGGTAGCCTTCAACCCCATTGGTACAGACACCGTCAGCGCTCTTTAATTCCTTGGAATGGTTGACTGTTTTAGGGATGTACCACCGAGATAACCCCTCTATACGCTGCCCATCCGTCTGTCCAGACCTCAGATCCTTCAATCACATGTTGCCTTATTAAAGGCACAAGAGTAGCCTTGTCCCTCAGAACTACATACAGTACTATTCCCAACTTCCTCTCCACATCATATATACCTAATACCCACTTCTCTTTCTGACATTTCCTGACCCCCCGTCCCCTATAACGGGGACCCCCTATAAATAACACTCTATTATTTTCTTTTCATCTTGCGCGAAATATCGATAAATGTCTTAATCGGAGCATTGTGAGGGTCTATGGCAGGTGTGTGCGATTTGACTGGGCATCGGGAATGACTGCAGGGGGAATGGTGGGGGGAGGGAATGCCGGGAGTGCTTCGTCGGGCCGTAGAAGGGCAATTTCTTATGGGTGGGTTAAAGTCACTGCCCCATTCTCAAGGAATTGCCCTTCTACGGACATTTCCTACGTGACACGGAGTGCCCTGCGGGCTGGCGCCCCAAATTTGCCTTGAATTAACCGAAATTGAAGTTGACATTCCCCCTATACACCCCCCATCCCCATAATTGGCGACCGGGTTGTCGTACTCACCGCTAGGAGGCGCTCCAAACTCGCTGTTGTTGTTGTGCGCGAGCGTCTTTTGTCGTCTGCAATGGCTACGGTGGTCGGAAGATGGCTCCATCCTAACCCAAAATACGGTAAAAAACACTGAATTTTAAAGGTGCCCGGATCGGGGTTTTTTGGTTCTCATCATGTTCGCCGTGTTGAAATATGCCTTAAACCCAAATGTAAGATCGCTACCTCAAAAGATGCGATTTCGATACTACCCTACAGTTACCCTCGAGTTATCGTGATGACAGACAAACACACAGACAGACAGGCAGACAGACGCGAAACTTTTTGATCATCACTGTAGTAATAGGCTTCGCTAATCGCTCAGCCAATAAAGTCGGTGCAAAATACACAAGGGTGAAGTGTGTACATTGTAGCTATATAAGTGCGTCAGATGTACTTACGTCATTAACCTGGTTGTCGACAGCCTTCCTAATTTCTTCGGGGTCCGCCTGGTGGCCACGCTTCCTGACGGGAGTCAAGTTGGCCAAGTCGACTTGGCCAAGTGGGGTTCAGCTTTGAGGAGCCGACTATGCACTTACCAAAATCCAAAAAAAATCCAAAAAAGCCCAAAAAAACACCCTGCTTAACCCGCCTCCCCTAAGAGCATACCCTCGCATATACCCACAACCGCTAGCCCCCCCCCCCCCCCCCAAAAATGGAAAATAAATCAAACACGTATCATACCTGGTCCCCAGCGTTCTACTACATCAAGACATGTAGCTGGCTGGCTTCTCGAAATAAAGTCCACCAAGGTGGCGGTGGCCGAGCAGTGGCGTACCAAAGAAATTAACAAAAGTGCGATTCCCAGGGGTCCGTAACTTAACATAACGAACATGATCGGTTTGTTAAATAATTTAACAAAGTCGCAAATAAAACTTTAAGTTAAGTTAGATACGCAACCAATAAGTAATTTGTTATTCCCTTAACGTTATATATGTAACCAATTCATTTAACGTTAAAAGCGGCTTCCCTTTTTTTAGTGACTTATATCGCACAGGCATGAAATAGAACATAACACTTAAACTCTTATCAAAGTAATATTTGATAAATCCATAACGGTTATTTTTTTAAACAATAGTTGTATGTTATTTACGTATCTGTTAAGTGCCATAGTAGGCGTTATCAGTTATAGGGTACAACACTAACGATTAACAAAACGTTATGAGGTCCTTATATGTTAAGTTACGGACCCCTGGCGATTCCGCCGACTTTAACTGCTCAAAAGTACCCGTTCTCAGGTGGACTAAATTCCAGGACTCCGGCCACGCATTCTACTACCAAAAGACTACTCGTAGCCAGCTTCGCGGAATTTAGTCCACCTAGAAGGCTGAGCAGTGGCGTAGCAAAGTAAGTCACAAAAGTGCGATTCCGCCGACTTTAACGCCTCAAAAGTACCCGTTCTCAGGTGGACTAAATTCCAGGACTCCGGCCACGCATTCTACTACTGAAAGACTACTCGTAGCCAGCTCCGTGGAATTTAGTCCACCTAGGTGGCTGAGCAGTGGCGTAGCAAAGTAAGTAACAAAAGTGCGATTCCGCCGACTTTAACGGCTCAAAAGTACCCGTTCTCAGGTGGACTAAATTCCAGGACTCCGGCCAAGCATTCTTCTACCAAAAGACTACTCGTAGCCAGCTTCGCGGAATTTAGTCCACCTAGGTGGCTGAGCAGTGGCGTAGCAAAGTAAGTAGCAACAAAAGTGCGATTCCGCCGACTTTAACGGCTCAAAAGTACCCGTTCTCAGGTGGACTAAATTCCAGGAGGACTCCGGCCACGCATTCTACTACTGAAAGACTTCTCGTAGCCAGCTTCGCGGAATGTAGTCCACCTAGGTGGCTGAGCAGTGGCGTAGCAAAGTAAGTAGCCGTATTCCGATTCTGTCGACTTTAACGCCATAAATTTACAAAATCAGTACATTAAGTAGTTTATTATCAACTGAAAGAAAGAAAGCTGGCGACACAAACATGCTTTTTTCAGTCCAGTATTTACAAGAAAAAAAAACAGGTATTTTTCAATCCCTATCAGTTAACATTCGATGTAGGTAGTCCAATTTGTCTTCATAATGTTGCTTGTCCCGACAACTAACCGATATTTGCATCTGAATTACTACTAATTGGCCCCAAGATACTTGTCCCCTACCATTTAGTGTGTAACAGTAGTAACGGATACAGACCAGCAGCCTTAGTGGACTAAATTACACGCAGCGGGCTACGAGTAGTCTTTTGGTATTTCAAAGCATTTTATTGCATCATAAGTTTTTACATGAGGGTTTAACAAAATAATTGAAAAGCATAATTTTTTTGACAAATTTTGACATAAATGTTGGAAAAAGATGTCAGGTTAGAAATAAAACACAGTTTAAAAAAGAATTAGAAAGGCATAATAGAACATATAAATTATGCAGTTGAATTAACAGTTCTAAGCAGTTTAAAGCAAGGTTGGTAAGTAGTAGCATGAAGTGGTATTTTATGTACAAGCTTTATACCTAAAATTTTAAATGGAATTAACATGTAAATTGAGTTGTGCAATTGCACTGATGTAGATAATTTTAACATGGCAATGTAGGTAGTTTAACATGGCAATGTAGGTAATTTAACATGACAATGTAGATGATTTAACATGGAAATAGAGAGTAAGTGAGCATTTGCTCTTAAGTAGATAGTTTAACATGGCAAATGGAATATAGTTTAACAATGCAATAAAGTAGATAATGTATGAGTGACAATTACTCACATTTTTGCAATAATTTTGGTATTTATTTTTTTGTTTATTTATTTTTATTTGTTTAACAGGTGTACCAGCTTGCCAAGTGGAAAAGAGGCTGCTTGTGGCCATTTGCGCCCGACTGGTCAGAAGTGACAGTGGACCCCTCCGCGCCGCAACGCCGGGTACTTGTCACCCCGTGTGGCGCCTGCTGCTACTTCTGCGTGAAACTTTTCTGTGCAGTCTTCTTTAGAGTCAGCGAAGACGCCACAGGGACACTGCCAGCTGAGCGCCATGAGTCCAAAGACTGCAGGGCCAGAGGGCCAGAGGGTAGAATGCTCGGGCAAAGTCCTGGTATTTAGTCCACCTGAGAACGGAAACTTTTTGAGCCGTTTAAGTCGGCGGAATCGCACTTTTGTGACTTACTTTGCTACGCCACTGCTCAGTCACCGAGGTGGACTAAATTCCGCGAAGCTGGCTACGAGTAGTCTTTT